CGGCGCTGACACCAGGCCCCCCTTGCAACCTGCTCGGCGCGAGCGGAGCCAGGGGTGGTGAGAGGGGGAGGCGGAGACCAGCCCCGCCCTGGAAGAGGAAGTGAGCCCGCTGCAGGGCCAGCCAGCCCTGGGATGGCCCCTCTCCTCCGCCCCGCCTGCGTCCTGCAAGATGGCGACAGGGCTGTGTCCCCCCCTCCCCCCCACTGGGCTTCCAGGCCCGACACAGAGGTCCTCGGGAGCGAGATGGGGGTCCAGGGCCCTCCCAGGGCTGTTGTGAGCTCCTTGGCTCCGGCGGTCCGTCCTGCAGGGACCCCTTTCCGAGCTGCTGCCCCGCCTGCCTGCTGGACTGTTAAGGGAGACCTGGGGTGTGGAGGTGGCGCCTGTGGCTGTGTGGGCACCTTGGAGGGCCGCGACTCTGACCCCCATTTTCGGTCGTCCTAGGGGTGGCTTGCGGTGTGGCAGGAAGGAAGGACGGGATGGGGAGATCCGGGCGGCGGGCCACAGCAGGTGCGTCCCCAGGGCTGCCCTTGGCCAGTGAGAGCCCTGGGTCGCCATGGTCCTGCCTGCTTGCGGGCCCCCACCCGGAGCCCAAAGGACCCCCTTGTAGCTGTGCTCCCAGCCCTGCACCCCTCTGGCGGGCATGTCCCCAAGTCCCTGCAGCCCCCACCCCGGCCCGCGGGGCCCCTTCCTGTTCAGGGCTCCGTCCAGGGCCACGTCACAGGCACGTGGGCGCCTCGGCCGCGGGTGCTGACTACCCCACCCTCCCCCCACCCTTGGGAACCTCTGAGTATGAGGCAAAAACAGTGCCTGCGAATTCCAGGGGCCCAGGGCCCGGGAGGGCCTGAGCTGGCCTAAAGCTCTGGGTGGGCGGCCCGCTGCTCCCGGGGCTCCCCGTCTACTGCGGAGACGCTGACCACGTGGCCCACACGCGCTGCGGGCCTGAGGTCCGGGTAGAGGGGGTCGGGGGGTGCAAGCTCTGGGGCATACACCCGCCGCCTGCTGAGGGGGCAGTGATGGGCGAGGCCGGCCTGGCCGTGGGAGGGGTCTACCGCGGGAGCGGCTGGGCGCACAGCGCGCGCTGGCAC